AAAGAAAATTTTATTAACAGTAACTAAAAGTAAAAAGTAGTAAGAATCGAACCTATCAGAACACTTCTCCTCCCCTCACAACCTTTCCTTTCCCGCTGACAATGTAAAGAAACAAAACCTAAAATTTCCAGTCAGTTTATCACCTCTAGAATAGTCTTTCTTCAGTTCACTTACAGAGAGAAGTCCCTCTTGTTAATGTTATGGAGACTTCTCCACAAGAGATAAAAAAACAGTTCTCTCGTGGCTCTTAATTTCCTCAGCAATAACAGCTGCCTGGGAAACCCTGCCATCCCTCCTATTTTCCACAAGTCTTCCCACAGCTTGTTGATGGGCCATGTTGACTTACGGAGTATTGTTTTAAAGATGAGCTGTTCAAAGGCAAAAGTTCTCATTCTCTGTTTCTAAAATAATTGTCATCCCTGGGAACAGAGATCTTCTCCTGGGGGCACAGGACTACTCTTCTCTCTTTCTCTATTCAAACTTCTCATGGGATAACAGCTACTTTTACATTTGCTTACTTTAACATAAAGGCCTTAGATCGATACCAGTTTGAACTCTTCATCTTCCCATAGTTTCATGTGTTATAGGAAAAAAGTAGTTTCTCCATAGCTTACAAGAGGATTTCAGCACTTAAATCAAAGCATCTCCTCATCTCTTGCATCTGGGACTTCTTCCTCACTGACCATGATGTCGTGTTGTTCCTTCACATGCTTTCATCTTGTCTCTTCATCTCACTCAAGGGAAGATTGAAGCATTAAAAGAGTTACCATGTGCCTGGGCCCTTCAAATGTTCACCTGACCCTCAGGTGACTTATGGCAATAACTTATGGCAGGAACTGAAGCTGGGGCTGTGTCCAGATCGGCTTCTGGATTGGTCTTGGGTTTTCTCAAAGTTCAATTCCAGCCTCCAGGCCACTCTGCGTGGCTGCAGGTCTGCTTCTGGTCTCAGAATGCAAGATGGCAAGATCTTAACAGCTGCAGCTGGTCCTGCTCCAACCAGGGCTCCGCAGCCTCCCCCACATTCCTGCCTGGCAGCTGCTGGGGCCCAGCCCGGCCAGGGTGGGGCTTGGAGTCTCCTGGAGCTCCAGAGAGGGATCCAGCCCCTCCTGTGGCAGAACCTGCCTGGCCCAGCTCGGGACAGGACCCAGTGGGCCTGGGGCTTGTTACCTTCTTGCCAGCAGGGAAAGTAAGAGGAAGTTCCCAGGTTTCTTTCATCTTTAACATGTCTCTTTCACAGAGCTATGTCCAGCTTCTCAGTGTTTCAGCAGGCTGTCAGTTATACTAAAGCTTTTATGTCACTTCCCTAAATTTCTCCCATGTCAAAACCATGACACCCCATTACCCTGGCAGTGAAAATGGGTTCTGCCCATGCCACATATCCTGATGGCATTAGGGTACACTGCGCACTAGTATTAACTAACACTTCATATTTTTGTGACTCTGATGTGCCGGGTCATTGGATCTACCCTGTCTAAAAGACCTGGTTTTCTTGTGCCTCTTTCTGGCTAGAGGCAGGGCCGCTCTAGCCTTGGTTATAATCTTCTTCTTGGGCATGTGTATTAAAGGTTCTTTCAAGGGGATCTGACAGATGATACCTGGCAGCTTGGTTATGGGATGTTGGAATCTGTGAGTATTGGTGATTCCGAGATTGTAGAAAGTCTCTGTCTTTCTGCCCCGTTGCCAAAGAAGAAGCCATAATTCGTCTGTGCTGTTTTCAAGGTTGTTTATTCTTGCTTATCTCTAACATGTTCTGCTGCCCTGCCGCAGGTCTGTCCTGCAGGGCAGCGTGTGGGGCTCTGCCCCCAGTGGGATGTTACAAACATTATATACCAGAAACTACGTGTGCTATATTTACAATAATGTGCCAATATCTATCATCTACGTTGAACAGCGTGTCCCCAGCCTAAAACAATAGAAAAATGCCAACACTACAGTGAAACATGGAGGGCATGAAGAAGGAGGAAAAGGACAAGACACACCCAATTCCTCCATCTTGTCCCCTCTGAACCCCTAATCTAGAAACCTAAAATTTTACTTTTGCACCCGTGTCACACTTAATTATTACTCTTATCAAACACTCAAAGCTTGTAATTCATCCTGTAAGATTGAAAACTCTTTTCCATGGACAGAGATCACAGACAGTGTCTCTCGGGGCTCTGTACAGGGGGGTTCCTGACCCCTGCCAGGGTCCCAGACCTGCCAGGGCAGCCAGAGGGAAGCCCTGGATTCCCACAATGGGAGGCTGAGGCTAGTTTCATTTTAGTGGAGCTCTCTTGTTTGGTGTTTCTCTCCTTGAGTTGATGCACCTGTGGTGCCAGGAGAGAAGTAGGTCTTTCATTCTACCTTCCCTTCATGTCTTCTTTATGATTGTGCCAGAAGAGCCACAGGTCGGCTTGTGAGGTCTACCCTCTCTTTTTAATTGGCGGACATTGGCTTTGGCTTCAGGGCCTGTGATGTGCACTGGTGCCATATGGGAACTGTTCCTCCTCACCTCTTCTCTCATTACTTAATTCATCTCTTCTTTGTGGTCCTTAATCACAGCAGAGATACGAGCCTGCATTGGGCTATTGATTATACTATTGTAATTTCTAAGCTTGTTGTCAACAGAACCCACTGTCTCTTGGTTGTTACCAGTGTTAATAGTTTTAATGAAGGTGGTGTTTTGAGATGGCCCTAGATTTGCTAGATTTTACATTTGCCTTATGCACCTGACCTTGTCAGTGTCATTATTAAGCTGTTTATCCCTTCTAAAGAGTGCTTCTAATACTGCCACTTCTCTTAGTTGTTTAATCCCTTCTTCAAGGGTTTTCTAGCACATTCTATGATGGTGCTTCTGTATTCTCTTTTTGAGGACAAACCTCTTTCTTATGCTCATTAAAAGCTGCTCTTAGAGGGAAAGGGGCCTTGGTTCCTGTATGAATTCCTGATTCATATGTCAGTCTTGGGTCAAGGGTCCTAAATTCTTTGCCTCACCACCATTTAGTTGCATCCTTGTACCCATAAGGTCCCAGACCCAAAGTAACTAGGCTGTATAAGGCTCAAGCCCCTGTTGTACAATGGTTTTGTGCAAATTATGGAGATTTTTATATGTCAGGGACTCAGTGATGATTTCAACCTCTGGCTCCCCTTTGGGTTGTGAGGGCTCTCCTTTCTTATCTTTATTATCTGGGTGCTCTGATTTCATCTTAAACTTCTTTGTTTCTACAGGGACAATTCCTGCTGCCTGTAACTGCCCTTGTGGTTCAGCTGGAGCCTGGACAGTTGTAACATCTGTGGGTTCTACTGCTGCACTATTAGACTCTCCTTCTTCAAGGCAGGGGGAGAATTTTTCAATAGTTAGGGAAATGTACTCCTTCAGCATCTGGCATATTTTGTGTATTTCTTTTACTAGAACACCCACCCAGTCTGGGTGGTTTATTTTTGAGGTGGGCTGTGGGGCAGGTTTAGGCAGTAGGGCAGCATCCCTCGTCTCTGGGGCAGTGTCAGGCTCTGTGGCGGCATCCTTCTTCTCTGGGGTAGATTATCAGCGTGGTTATCCAAGTCATTCTTCCCTTTTCTCTGAATGCTAAATATAACAGGTTTAACAGGCATATCAGCAACACTAACCACTGTATGATATTATTAGCATTTAGAGCAGATTTGAACCCTTCAAAAACTAGTTGGGTAGACCCAAATTGCTGGTTGAAGCATTGGGATAAAATTTCCCCCAGTGTCATTTGCTCACAGTAGGTACCTTTATTAAAGTAATCCCAAAAACATACAGTTAGTGTGTGATAGTGCTGAATCCATGTGCCTGCCTTCGTGAGAAAGTTAAAAATCCATGAGTTCCTCACATTACTAACCCATAAAGAATACAGGATAACAGCCACAGCAGCCTTAGTTATGGGACCCATAGGGCTTGCAAATGGGAGAAATATAGCCATGACTATGTGCTACCCATGGGCTTACCCTAGCAGGATAAGCTAGACTGCATGGTGACATTTAATGAGGTTTCTATATAGAGCACACAAAAATTAGGTTACTCAAGAACTGTTATTGATTTTTTCACAGTTTTCTCTCTGTCCCCTCAACGTTGGGTATGAGGCAAGTTTGAGCTGCTTTACCTCCATTTAGGCAGAGCATCCTGATGTCCCCATAAGCATATAACGATTTCACTTTTCAGCTGACATAAAAGTAAACATTCTCCATCAGTAATTTGCTGGAGGCTGGGAGTATACAACTGTTCGTCTGCCATAGTTCACTTGATAGATGGTAGTTTATTAAACCCTAATATTTGGTCATGTGTGTCTTAACCTGTATAACAGTTTAAACATTATTTGCTGACAAGATGATCAATGTTTCAAAGTATTGATGAGTTTGTAAGAGATTCTGAGTTCAGCTAACAGCTTGACTGGACCCTGAGCTGCAGTAGTTTAATTTGCATTATGTTTTAAGCTGATTTTGTTCAAATTGGTACAAAAGACTAAGTGTGTTCTCATATTGAATTAATTAGGAGGAAGTTTATGCTAAACTGAATATATTACTCTTATAGTGAAATAAGAATCTCTGAGAAAACATGGCCCTTCCTGAGCCAAGCTGATTTGTAAGACATAACATCTCCTGATCACAAATGCTTCATGTATTTAAGTTTGTTTTTATGAAAACAAATTGCCACAATTCATTTTAAAAATGTGTTAATTCCAAAATTTTTTTAAGATCATCAAGCACAGTATGCCTTCAAATTTTCAATTGTCTTTTCTTGGACTCTCTGTGTCTTTGTGTGTACAAGTCATATAGTTCTAGTTCTGTATATTTATGTGTTACATTGTAATCACAGAGTTAACTCCATCCTAAAAGCTTTGCTCTAACTCCATCCTAGAGCATGGGAAATTACCCTGGCAGGACTGGCACTGTCTGCCCTCTGCTTTATGTTGTATGGCTTGTGCTGTATTGCTGCTAGATAAATTTCCATTTGAGCAGAGAGTGTTGGGTTTTGTCTCTGCATTTTTCTGTCAATACAGGAAGAACATTCTTCAGTTCTTGGATGCCGAAAGAGATGTCTCAGTGGTCAAAAGTAGCTTCAAGCCCGGAGATGTAATTCATTATGTGCTGGACAGACGTCGCACTCTGAACATTTCTCAGGATTTGCACAGCCTTCTCCCTGAAGTTTCCCCAATGAAAAATCGCCGATTTAAAACCTGTGCAGTTGTTGGGAATTCTGGCATCCTTCTAAACAGTGGTTGCGGAAAAGAGATTGACAGCCATGACTTTGTAATAAGGTATGTTTTTATCCGCTATTGAAGATGCAGGCTACTATGTTTCTTGCAGAAAAGCTGGGAGAAATGTTTTAATCTGAGGTACATATTAAAGGCTTTACCTGAAATTAATCTGAAGCAGTATCCACCAACATGTGATTCCCTAAATTAAAATTAATGCCTATATTATTGATAAGAATATTATTGTGAAAATAAAACAAGAGAGGGAGGTTTTCATTAATTAATTTTGCTTTTTGCTGTGCTTATTCCAGAAAGAATTATTCTTACAGAGGTCTTGGTAGAATAAATGCAAAATGGTTTCTCTTAAAAATACTATTTTAGCTTTTGGTCAGTACAGATAGCATTTTGTAAATTACTACATTCCTTCTGTTAAGCATGTAGTAAAATTTCAGTGGGCTGTATTGATTTTAAACCAGGATGCCACTGAGTTAGTTGGAAGTCACCCTAATATATTCCTTCACATTGGTTTAAGAATCTATTCTTGCAGTTTGGGGGAAAACTATATGTTTCACTATTTATTCATTCTTCGAACATACACAGTAGAGGGTCTATGGATTTCATAGATCATGTCAATGCTGACCTCATTTGGCATCTTGGCATTACGTAGACAATACTGAGCAAGAGATGGGTACTTTGGCTTTTGAAGCAGAAGTTCTAATTGATTTGGTTTGAGAAGGGTGACAGGGCAGAAAACAGGAGGGTTGTGACAGAAAGCAGTATAGAAATTAGTTATTGAGAGTTATTTGCTTTTTCTTTTTTCACCTTAAAGAATGATGGGGATAATAAATAGTAAAAAGACTTGGAAAAGAAAAATAATGGTTTCACAGTACATAAATAAAAGAAGAATATACCTGAGTTTTGTATTTAATTTGAAAGTTATTTTAACAAGTTGCAACTGAAGCAATAACACACTTCTCTTTCATTTTCCTTATTAGTCTTACTTGTACCACTAGTTATTGAAATTAGCGTCCTTACTTACTGCAGAGGAAATCTAAAAGTAATTATCGCAGTTTTAAATCTCACTTAGCCTTTGGCGTGCTTTTGTATTCTCTCTGAGATGAAATGGGATTCATTTAACAGGAAATCTTGGTTTTGGACCAATTTAGGAGGAAATGTTCTGAAAAGGTGTTTCCTTTATTGAAGAGTATGTTTTAGCAAGTTTTTTTTCACGGGTTCCTACAGGTTTGAAAGGCTTTTTATTGGAGAGAGTGAAAAAATTGTTTATTTAACAGGCAAGTTGTTTACAGGTATGAAAAGAATGAATAATGTTAAATAATAAAACTGTTTGCTGCTTTGAAGTGTTTCAGAAGTTTTTCTGTAGGTGTGGTTCAGTCTTTTTCCGAGCCAGGAGCTGGCCTCTGGGCCACAGCACAGTGTTGGGGGGGGAGGGGTGTGCCCTGGGCAGTGTTTTGGTGTTTTGGCTTGGAGAAAAGTTGCTTAGTTCTAGAAGATGAAGCTACAGTTCCATGCAAAACTTCTGCTTCAATTAACAAATGAAAAGCTAGCTTAAAAAGCAAAGAAACTACTCCATCTGTTTTTCTCTGGAGAGAAAAAGCCACAAGTTGGGTGAAATCAAGAGTCTTATCTCTTGTGTTTTTGAACGCTGGTGGCAAAAATTGTTACTGCTTCTCTTTCCTCTTTCTCTATCTCTGGGTTTAGCTTAAAGCTATAGTACCCATTTTGGGGCACAAAGCAGGCAATTGGGGATACAATAACAAAACTCCAGGACCCAGGACTACAGAAAGCATTAGATGCTAGATTTTCTAAATTAAAATTTGCATAGAGAAGGCAAGGTACACACTTTTTTTAAAATCATGTGCTAAATTTCTTTGCAGTCATCCCCATGATCTTTCACACATTTTAACTAGCCAGGAAACTAGGTGATTTTATCTGATAGGAGGTTTTAACTAATTCAACTACACAGAGGAAGGATAATATTCTAAAGACTTGGTGTAGCATCATAGGATCAGTAGGCAGTTACTGTTGCTAATCAGGTCTTTAGACTGGAGAGATATGTGGATGTTCTGTGCAGATGGTGAAGAAATGGAACAGGTTGTCCAGAGAAGCTGTGCATATCCCATCCCTGGAAGTGTTCAGGGCCATGTTGTATGGGGCTTTGAGCAACCTGATCTAGTGAAAGGTCTCCCTGACCATGGTGGGGGATTTAGAACTAGATAATCTTTAAGGCCCTCTTTCAACCTACACCATTCTGTGATTCCATGAAACATCTCTCATATGGTATATGACAATTGAAGTGATCTGTTTAACAACTAGGCAGTCTGACAACATTTTGATTAATAATCTCCAATGTTTTGGGAATAACATGCTTGGCCCTCCTGCCTATAGGGAAGTGATTTTTTTTTTTTTTTTTAATTTACAAAAAAAAGTTAAGATGTTTTAGAATTTACATACTATAATTTAAACTATACAATATTTATTTATTAAAGTCTTGATGCATATATAGTTATATAGCATCTGTTTAAATAGCAAGGAATTTGTTTACAATTGAAGTTAAAGAAAGAATAAATAATTCATCAGAGTTGGTTTCCTACATTCCTCATCTTCCATTTAGAAAAATTGTACATCACTTGATATGCAATCACATGGGTAATTATGAAATTCTGGAGTGCTTCATAAGCCTTTACCTGTTTTGCTGTTAGGATTCTGGTATTAAAATGTACCATGACACTCTGTTAATCTTTTTACTTTTATCTGATCTCTTTAGAAGTAAAATGTTCTCACTTATGTGCCACCTGATGGTATTCTTGAAAGGAGTTTCTGAATATATCGAAGTGTATAGGCTGGTGAAGGACAGTTTTGTAGGGTCTTCTGATACGAAGTGCTTTATGCCTATGTGCTGTGACAAGTATGTCATACTATTCTGGTTAAATATATTCCCTTGATTTTGATTGTATTTTTTGTGAGGGGGTTTGGGGGAGAGGGGAAGGGGGTGAAATCTGAAGGAAAATTTTTTCTCTGAGAGCTATCTCTTAGAGGAGCAGCTTTTAGGTTAGAGTTAACACCAACAATACCATTAATTTAATGATCAAACTGGCAGTGAATGTCTGTGACAATGAAGAGGTCACAACAGATATCCAGCAATATTTGCAGTACTGATTAACTCAAGAGCCCATAAAGGTAGTGAAGATGTTAATAATAATGGACAAACACGCAGAAGTTTCACAAGATTAGTGAAGTCATGCTTATTTTGGCAGTAGAAAATGTAGTCGATCTAATTAAAATGGGAAGCAAGGAGAGTCTTTGTTTTTAAAAAAATCATAAACTGTGATGACTATGAACTATTTTCTGATTCCCATGTAACTTTCCTTTTTACCTCTCATGCTTTTATACCCCATTAGGAGCTATTGATCTGTGTGCCCCTACTACTCTCTTCTAGTGCCGAGCCTCAGTGTGCTGCACTTTGGGCTGTACCAGAGAGAATCTGAAGCATTCCAAAATATCTGATTAGATGAATAAGTACATCTTGTTCCCACATCGTCTGCACTTTGTCATGCTGAAATTACCAAGCCAGGGCTGAGTTAGCTGTTGCATCTTACAGAGAGGATGAACTTGTTATAATAAGGGTATATTTTGAAATGCAGTGGTTATGTAGGAGTTTCTGAGAAATGCTACTGTATTTTGGGCAAGTGTTGAAATAATAATGCTAAGCATTGCCAAGTAATAACTTGGAATTTCTTCTGGAACCCAGTATGTACCAAACAGTTCAGCTTTGGGTTCAGAATTTGAACAATATGAAAAATCAGAGTAAGTAGGTATATACTTTTTATTTTTTAAATAATTTATTTGACGTTTGTGATGAGACCTATGGAAAAGCAGAGGCCAAGTTCAGTTTTGGAGTAATTCGGTTAAAACCAACCAGTCAAACAAACCCTAGCAAATATATTGTGTATTTTTCTGGTGGTGACCCCACTTCTGGAAAAATCCCTTTCATTTCAGTTGGAAAGTATGGAGAAGAGGCCTGTTGAGTGAAGCTTTTTTCAGTAGGTTAGGGCTGCTCTGACAAGGAACAGCCATGAGAAGATATTAGTTGCTCTTTTCTTTGTATTGAAGTGCCTAGTTTATATGTTACAACTCTTCTTTTCCCACTGGAGTTTTTCCTGGTGACTCTGCCAGCATTTAGGAACCAAATGGATGTTTTTGCCATGACTGGTGATAAAATTTTGCTGGGCAAATGCAGGTCTATTTTTCCAGCATACTTTGACTTTTGTTTTTCAACTTGACCACCCATGTGGTTAGTGAAGGTGACATGAAAAAGCTTATTGTCTTTTTTAATTTTTTTTTAACCTTTTGAGAGGAAAGAATACATCCTTTAACAGATGTCTTGGTTTGCCCTGTACATAGGTGAGGATAATCTGATTTGATTTTCTCTCTAGCATATTAATTTTTGTGGGCAATATGTGAATATTTCTGTGATATGCAGAAGCAAGCATCGTATGTGGTATGAGCAGAAGACAGCAGATATGATCAGGTAGAAGAAAAGGACAGGCCTAATCATACTGTGGAGGTGTGATATCTTATTTCAGGAGAGCAATTTAAATTGTGTGTTGTTCCTTCAGGCACTAGGAAAAAAGCATTATAAATTTGTCAGAATAAAGGTATTTAGAATATTAATTTGCCTATATTCTTGGTTTTTGTCATTCATATAAGCTTTTATCTTCAATTTTTTTTTAGTACACCTTGCTTGGACCATGGCCATCATGGCAAGTCAAGCTGAATCCTTGGAGCCAGGAGATCTGTTGAAAGCGAAGTTGCCAATTTAACACACATTTTTTTAAAGCATGAGTCTTCCTATAAAAATAACATCTGAATATATAATATCTGACTCATTAGACCCTTTTCAGAACTCAAATGTGGCAGCTCTATTTTTGTCTTCTGTTCTTCCTTAAACTTGTCACATTACATTGAAACATTAAATGAATGCAGAGGAAAGCTATAATTCTCTAATGTTCTTGCTCAGGGATTTGAGTGTCTGAGAAGAGGGG